AGGAAAAATCCATAGGAAGCTCAATGGAATTTTGGGTCAAGTCAGAACTACAGAATGTAGGGGTGTGTGTGGAGGTTTCACACTTGGGCTGATTCATATGTTATGTTCAGCTACTGATATTTGCATTTGACAGTATGTGCAAGTAAACAACCCACAAAGATGGTGCAGCATATGAGAAACGGTGCATATGTAATGATGCAAACTTGACTTCTGAAGCAGGATGAGATCTAGTGGCAGAAATCTGTGCTCAAGGCAAATTGTGCAAGTTCTTGCACGTGGGTTATGCTGTTTACTCAAGACATACAAGCGTCCACCAGTTGCTAGAAGTACCATGAATCTCCCAAACCGAAATAGTGGGGCTGCTGTTGACTTCATTGTTACAGAAAACTAGATGAAAAACACACACACCTCGGTGGTTAAAATGTTTTTGTGCAGTGTAGTTTTATCAGAGATGAAAAGGAGCCATGCAGAATAAGTTATGTTGAGCTCAGCATATTGTTTAAATCTAATTAACTCCCCAGTTGGTGTTTGTTTAAAAATGAGAACATCTCTTTTAAGTGACGAAAGCCAGTCCGTGTTATGTAATCATATTAACCTTTCTTCCCTTCTTTGCCTTGACAGTAAGCATGGTTAGGATCACTGAATTTTCACCAGAACTACAGCCTGCTCTAACAGAATGTTAGCTCCCATCAAAAGTAGCCAATTAATAGCCAGGGCAGACAGCTCAAATTTAATCAGAATGTACAGGAGATGTATTTTGCTTTTAATGCTTTGCACTAGAGAAATCCCCTTGGAAATCTTGTTGATTGTAAGCACTGTTTGTGACCTAACTTCTGTCTGCTCCTGGACCCAGGAATCTGCGCTAGCAAAGCAATATTTCTTTACCTTCAATAAACAAATCAGTACTTTGACACACATATTGCAAGGGAGACAGAAGCTTAAATCCCTTGAGAAAGGGTTTAAGGAGTGTGCATGTTTAGCAACAGAAGGGCTGATTAATAGTAGCCATCTTCAAATATTTGTTTCTGTTGCTCCAGAGGATAGGGCCTAAACAAGTGTGTTCAAATTACAAGAAAGGACTTTTCCACCAGGCATTAGGAAGAACTTTCTGGTGGCATGAGCTATTCAGCAATGAACAGATTGCCTCTGAAGAAGGTGATAGACTCTACTTTGTTAGACATTTTAAAGCAGAGGTTGGAAGGCTACCCATATTAGGAATGGTGTAGCAACAGATTCCCTTCCTTGGCAGTGATTTGGACTAGAGCACCTTTTGAGATGGGACGTGGGTGGCGCTGTGGGTTAAACCACAGAGCCTAGGGCTTGCTGATCAGAGGGTTGGCAGTTCGAATCCCCATTGCCCAGTCTCTGCTCCTGCCAACTTAGCAGTTCAAAAGCACGTCAGAGTGCAAGTAGATAAATAGGTACTGCTCCAGCAGGAAGGTAAACTGCGTTTCTGTGCGCTGCTCTGGTTCGCCAGAAGCGGCTTAGTCATGCTGGCCACATGACCCGAAAGCTGTACGCCGGCTCCCTCGGCCAATAAAGCGAGATGAGCACCGCAACCCCAGAGTCGGCCACGACTGGACCTAATGATCAGGGATCCCTTTACCTTTTGAGAGTCCTTCCAATTAAGACTCCAATCCCTTTTTCATTCTATCCTCCAGTGATATTTTCCTTTAGAAGAGGACATCTGCCCTTTCATTCCCAAGAAAAGCATTTTTTTTCTAACATAGATAAGCCATGCAGTATTATATGATTCTATGCAAGAGATAAATGCAGTGGCAAATCGGCAGGTGTTCTTTCTGCATGAGGTGAGGTTTCACAGAAAACAGCTGAACCATTCACCGACTGCTGGGTGACACGGACTCCGTTTGCTTATTTGTTGGTGCTTTATATTTATAGTGGTACACTGTGGGTAGGTCATCCTATGGCGCTATGGAAGGGTGCCAATTTGATGCTTTGCTTCTCCGCAGCCCTAAAAATGGGCCTGCTGGAGAAACGAGCCTCTTGGGCTCTTTGCCCTCTTGACTCCAGCTTATCTGTTGCATTCTCAGAGGGAAGGGGAACCACAGACTATCTGCTTGGAGGGCTTTTTACCAGTAACAAACCAATGTTTATGGTATTATGCGCTAAAAGGCAGACAGGAAAGGCTTCTGTTTAATCAATAATGTATGCTCCAGTTAGTCTTATCCTCTGGACATCATTAAACATGTATTTTGTTTCATAACTGATGATTTTGGCTGACTGGAGTTTATAACTAGATATCCTCAAGCCTTTGCATCTACCATCAGGCAGATCTGAATTGAGCTAGGCAGTCAGCTATGTTTAGTGTTAATGTGGAAAGTAAACTTAAAAATAAGTGAGAGTTGGGAGTTAATTATAAATAGTAGAAGTGGAGGGTATGCAAGAGCAGACCTCATGCCTCTGAACACAGTCAGACAGCAGGAGTAAGGCTTGATGTTTAAATGCTGTAGCCTACTGTGGAGGAGCTTTACTAGTAAGCTTAGAAACTTTGTGTATTAAAAATCAAATTAAACCACACTACATTTTTTTTAAATGATGAGGAAATGTACGTTCAAGGTTTACTTAATAATGTTAATTGGCAATGGAGCAGTATCACTTAACAAATGCGCTCCATTAAACAGATCTACCATAATGTCTCACCAGCTTGGAAAGATTTCCTTGGCATACAGCACTGATTCTTAGGCTTGCAGTCCGACTCTGATTACAGTGGTACCTCAGGTTACATACGCTTCAGGTTACATACACTTCAGGTTACAGATTCCACCAACCCAGAAATATTACCTCGGGTTAAGTACTTTGCTTCAGGATGAGAACAGAAATTGTGCTCCGGCGGCGCGGCAGCAGCAGGAGGCCCCATTAGCTAAAGTGGTGCTTCAGGTTAAGAACAGTTTCAGGTTAAGTACGGACCTCCGGAACGAATTAAGTACTTAACCTGAGGTACCACTGTATTTAGGAATAAGTTGCATGGCACTTCTTGGGACCTACTTACAACTAAACGTGGGATCAGGCTCTTAGTGATAAATGATATTGGTAGACAAAGTGAAAGAACCAGCATTACCAACTTTTTTTGGCTTGTGGCTGAGAAAGCCAATGACATTAACAGTTGATAGGGAGTACTGAATGAACGAACGTTGCTGTTTATTTAATTATTTAAGCCCTTGACTTTTTAGAACTCTGGAATAAATTGCAATAATGTTTTCCTTTAAATCCATTATTAATTCTGCGATATGTTTCATTTCTAATGAAAAGAAGATCCACCTTTGGTGCTAAGGAAGCCTTGATACGCATCTGTCAGAAAGGTTTGTGCAAGTTCAACAAATCTGCATACAGACATTTGTTTTGCATAATTTATGGTGCTTCCATGATACGCACTAGTATCCATAACTCAGTTGTGTCCTAAAAGCAACAGCATCTGTCTTGGAAAAGTCTGCTGCACTGAAGGCTCTCTGTAAGTTCATACTCTCCTTAATTATTCCTATCTAATTTTTTTTCCCCTGAGTTGCACAGATTTTCTTTCTCATCCTTGATGACAGCTTGCCTAACACAATGGCATATTGATGTATTTTCCCCCCTTCACTTAGAAATGCAAGGTCTCTAATGCTCTGGCATCCTTTTCTGTATTCCCAATCTCTTTTCCTGTGGTTGCATTCCCACTTGGGTAGTCTTGCTGTTGCAAGGCCAACTACTTAGGCTTTACTGAATCTTTAAGGACTTGTGGTTCACTTGATTGTACAATAGCAGTTCGGTGTGAGCCTCCCATAGGGCTTTGAATCGAAGCAAGAAAAATGTAACTAAAATTCTGGAGAAAAGCCAGTATTTCATCCTCAAGATTTCTACCCCCCCCCCGGTCAGCACTATACACTGGTTGTTTTCATGCTCTAGCAAGAGCGAAGATGTTAAGATTGCTTCGTATTTTTCTCCTCTCCCTTGTACCACAGAAACAGCCAGCAAGTACTTTCAGTATCAGGACAGAGGTATAGGCAATAATTTAAAAGGAATTCACCTTACCTAGATTCACTTATTTTATCAGCTGTTCTCTGTACCGATGTCTTGCTTGTGCTTCACTATCCCCAAAGTACCCCAAAGCCTGAAAACTATTCTGAAACTGTGTTTGGGACTATAAAGTTACAGACTTGGAGGTGGGTGGGGAGAGGAAGTCCATATATACAGACTTAGTAATGTTTGAACTGACTGCAAAACAAAAAGGCTTGTCATCCAGTTTTGGTGACAAGCCCTCACAAAAAGCCTTGAGTTTTGCTTTGACTCATCAGTGTGCATTAGTTTGTACACTGATAAAAAGATTTGGCCAGCATTATAACTACATTACATAGACTGGATGACTCTTTTAAGAATGTTTAGTAAGTATCTTCAGATGGAAGGACAAGCTATGCCAGCCAATCTTGAGTTTCTTCTAAAGTATCCTTGTTCATTTTGTGTAGCCTGCTCTCTCTCTTTTTAAAGGATTTCTTTTATTGAAAGATTTTCATAGACCTTCATACAACATCTCTGTTCTCAGTTCATAGAGTCCTTTCTATAGGTCAGTTACATTTGGTGTGAGACACTGCTGTCATAGACATCAAAAATGGCAAACCCATACCAACACCAGAAATATAAGACAAATTAGGGGACACCCAAATACCTTGGCTGACCCATCACCAACAGCGCACCTTCTTAATAACCCAACAGTAAAAACAGCAGCAACTACTAGGCCTCTGACCACCTTTGAAAAACTTCTCCTGAGGGACACAGCAAGGGGATGGTATCCACAATATACAAAATATTGCTCCAAGGCCTTACAAAATCCCTCACCACAATCAAAGATTACGAAATAAACCCTACCCAATGGTCTAAACTGTGGTCTAAACCACCCTTCTCAGCCAAAAGAAGGGAACTCGCATCGAAACTAGTTTAGTCTGCTCTTTGATGCATGGAGCAAAATTGGTGTAAGGGTCTTTAACATCTTTCTACTATTTTCCTAGAATACGCCTTTTTAAAGATGCCTTCGCTGAAGGGTAAAGTCCAGACTGTTTTGGGCCTTGTTGAGCCTAGCCAGCTTGGCTACACGATGACCCACGAGCACTTGACAATGGATTACACTTGCTGTTACTACCCACCTCCTTCAGGCCAAGAAGCACTCTCTGAAACATCCATTGAGATGAAGAACTTGTTTTGGCTGAAACAGAATCCCTACAGCCACAAAGAGAACCTCCTCCTGCATCAAGAAACAAGTGCTGTGAAGGAAGAACTGCTGCAGTTCAAAGCTGCAGGTGGTGGGACCATAGTGGAAAATACAACCACAGGGATAAGGAGAGACATGAAGACCCTAAAGCAGCTTGCGGAAGAAACTGGTGTCCATATTATTGCTGGTGCTGGCTTTTATGTGGGTGCCACTCATTCTCCTGAAACACGAGCGATGTCTGTGGAGCAGGTGGGTCTCAAAACGTGCTGAAAGTTGGGCGCTCTTATTGGCAACCTCTGAATACCTCAAGATATGTTGTTTGCCTTTAACATAATTAAAATAGGAAGCCTTGAAATTGGGAATTAGGTGTGTGTGTGTGTGTGTGTGTGTGTGTGCATAATACACTGGGTTGGATACAGAGGAATTCACCTCTATGGTAGAATAGCTTTTCTTGACAAGGCAAGATCCTTCCATGAGAAAATGAACTGAAAACCAGTGGGTTTGCTGCTGTTATCACAGTGCATCCTGCAATCTCATGCACAGTATCTTAGGATGCATGTGTGAGCTAAGTTTCTGTTGCCCACACCCTTTGGTGATGGTTTGCCATTTTTCAATGCCATCCTTGGTGAGGTGTGTCTATTGACTTTCAGGAGAAATAGAAAAACATTCCCGCTCACTCAGGCATTTGAAGGCCGAAAGATACTGACCATGGCAACCTTGAAATTAGGAACGACATTGTTTTACTTAAGTTTTGATACTATGCAGCACAGAGAGTTTGAACTTAAAATAATGTTTATTTTCTACAGCTGACAGAGGTTATAGTTAATGAAATTCTCAATGGAGCTGATGGAACCGACATAAAGTGTGGGGTCATAGGAGAAGTTGGCTGCTCGTGGCCTCTGACAGAAAGTGAAAACAAAGTACTACAAGCCACGGCACATGCTCAGTCACAGCTTGGCTGCCCTGTCATCATCCACCCTGGCAGGAACAGTGATTCACCTTTCCAGATCATTCGAATTTTGCAGGAAGCTGGAGCTGATACCTCAAAAACCGTCATGTCTCACATGGACAGGTAAATGGGCCACTCTGGTGTTGGATTGTTTGTAAATATTTCTGCTTCTAAACCAGCGGTTGTCAACCTGGTCCCTACTGCCCACTAGTGGGCGTTTCAGGATTCTAGGTGGGCGGTAGGGGGTTCTATGGCACAAGCTGAATCCTCCTTCCATCAAGCGCTGGTGGGCAGTAAGGAAATTTTACCATCAAGGAAGATGGATTTGTGGGCGGTGGGTATAAAAAGGTTGACCACCCCTGTTCTGGACAGTGGAACTTTTAAGAAACCCACAGCAGGTTGAACCTAATCAGGTTTTGTCAGTGTTCTGATACTTCATTACAGCAAGCATTGTCACAGTTCCAGCATTTGCAGTACTCAAAATATGGCAATTGCAGGGAATACTTTAATGCAGATACATACCACACTGCCAGACTGAAACTCTAGTGAAGCTGGTGACAATCCTCAAAGTGGCATGTATGTGCAAAACTGCATAGTCCTGCTGACATCTACAAATCTTTAATTCCAAAGTGCCGGCAGTCTAAATGGTTTGTAGATCTCGGTGCTCATTAGAATAAGAGTGTCTGTTCATGTTGGGGAGTCGCTCCTTGAGCACCTAAATAAATCATCACATTTCCAAAGTCTACTTTGTGTTTATCAGGACCCATTTATGTCAGAGAAACGTTCAGCACCACAACTAAGATATTGTGCTGAGATGCAACACTTATAACCGTGTTTGAACTATATGAAGTTGCACAACCCCCTTCAAAACTTATTTGAACATCAATGTCACATCAGTGTCACTTTTCCAACGTCATTGGGTAATCCCTGTCTGGCTCTTAAACCTCTTTAGTTGCTAGCCGCCCCCCCTGCTTTGCACACCCCCAACACTTACTGCTAACTCTCCACATTCACAGGCGTACATTCAGTGACGCTCCTCCCTTTGGACTCCTGTGTTGTCCTTTCTCTCTGCCACTTCATGTCTCTTTACAGTTTCCCCCTCCGTTCAGTATTTCAGTGAGGCCACATCAAACACACCGGAGCTCACAACTGGGCATAGATGCAATAAAGCATCCTTGCTAGTGTCCCACATTCTCCTGAGGGGGCCTAATCTGTAGTTTGAGGAAATATAGCACCGAGTTGCATACAACTTTGAACAGACACAAATATCTCCTGTCTTTTCATCTTTGACTAATTTAGCTTCTTAAATTAGCATACTCTTCTGTGGCAAAAACTCTAGGTGGGATACTGGTTGAGGGGGGCATCTTCAAGTACTTTAGTTAATATCATCTAAAAGCCCGGTCTTGCACATGTTCATTTGGAAGCAAGTTCTCCTGAGTTCTATGGAGCTTTCTGTCAAGTAAGTATGCATAGGGTTGCACCATAAGCCCATTTGTGTGCATGCATGCTAGTAGAAGCTGCAAGGGGAAGGACCATAACTTCTTGGTGGAGCATGTGCTTTGAATGTCCCAGGTTCAACCTCTGGCATCTCCCAGTGGGGCTGGGAAAGACTGCTGTCTGAATTCTTGAAGAGGTGCTGCCCTTTAGTGCAAATAGAGGTTCTTCAAATGGGGTATTCTGCTAAGTTTTTCTCAGAGCGGACCTGTTTATTTAACACCACCTTGCCAACAAAGGTCTGTATAGTTCAAGCTATGGTTTTCCCAGTAGTAATGTATGGAAGTGAGAGCTAGACCATAAAGAAGGCTGATCGCCGAAGAAGTGATGCTTTTGAATTATGGTGCTGGAGGAGACTCTTGAGAGTCCCATGGACTGCAAGAAGATCAAACCTCTCCATTCTTAAGGAAATCAGCCCTGAGTGCTCACTGGAAGGACAGATCGTGAAGCTGAGGCTCCAATACTTTGGCCACCTCATGAGAAGAGAAGACTCCCTGGAAAAGACCCTGATGTTGGGAAAGATGGAGGGCACAAGAAGAAGGGGGCGACAGAGGACGAGATGGTTGGATAGTGTTCGCAAAGCTACCAGCATGAGTTTGACCAAACTGCGGGAGGCAGTGAGGCAGTGGAAGACAGGAGTGCCTGGCGTGCTCTGGTCCCTGGGGGGTCACGAAGAGTCGGACACGACTAAACAACAACAACAACAAACTTAATGTCCATTAATTTAACTGTGGTTTTAGGTAAATACCACCTATCGTTTGAATTGGTTGCATTTTGTCAGCTAGCTGGTATAAAGTGGTACACCAAGACCCTCTGCAGTTTTCAGATAGTTAGCAAATAGAAGCTTGAGAACTGCGGATATGGACGGTGCTGAGCTTTTCGCACCAAAGGTTTGATTCTGTGTAAGATGAGCTTCCCATGTTCCTAACTGGTAGCTGGTTCAACCTGCTGCATAAAGGCCATCTGCCTTCCCCTCCAGTACGTGGCAACACTTGGCATGGACACATTGGAGAACTATGTATCTGCAGATCAGATAGCTTTAAATAGCCTGGCTCTCTTCCCTGAGTTATCTGTTGCAGGATAAGAATGGATCTTCCGCTTTCTCCAGACTATGTTGCAAAAACAACAACCCCAAACCGCAACAATTCCACACCTCCTTAAATAGCTACATCACATCGCTTGAATCCTCTCCTGCAAACAACTGCAAGATGTTACTGCTACCTCTGTAAACAAAAGTCACAGAACGTCCGTGGAGAGCAAAGTAGTGGATGCTTCATGCCTTCAGTTAAAAAAAATGATCTGTGCTGCTAAGCCACATTTATATGACCTTGTGTGGTTGATGATTAGTTGGCAGGTGACCATGTATTGATTAGCATTGTTGAAGGCTGGAAGCTATTTGTAGTCATATATGACTTATCATTGAATTGTTGTGAGTGCTCTAGAGCACACTATGTAAAATGATTTTCCCTGATCATACATGTATAATTTAAATGTGCTTTACATGAAACACAATGTATGTTACTACCTACATTTCCACTCATGCTTAGGCATTTATGAGAAAACGGAAGCCTAAATGATTTTTAAAAATAAAATAAAACACAAACTCTCTTCCAGATTGCAACTACTTTCTTGTCTGATTGCCTAGAATTAATTCTTGATTGCTTCAGGTAACCATACCGGTTGCTATTGACAGGCCTAATTTAAATAAATCCCCAACTCTTTTAATATATATTCACACCTATACCTAGGAAAGCATATTCCTATGAACGTGATTTTAAAATTATAATAATACAAAATATTGCCACGGTACTACAGCGTATAAGTACATTTACATAGCAATTTTGGCTTCTAGTGTTGAGCTGTAAACGAAAGCCATACTACTTGCACACTACTTTGAAAGTCCATTGGATAAGAATCTCTGGTCCTATGTAAACTGTGGTTATTATTATTTTTAAACAAGATTTTTATTATTAATTACAGTTGGCAATAATGAGTGTCCTGCTGGTGCCAGTTGTGTTTGAACAAGAGCTTTCTCTCACTCGTTCCATCTGTTCCTTCTACTTAATCCTGCTGTTAAGTCACAATATTGAATTTGTGACATCAGTCATTTCCATAGCGACAGACTATGATGCAACCGAATTAAATGTTAATGGCTTTGTGGCATTAAGCAGAAGGAGCACCAAGGTAATGTAGGTGAGAATGATTCTTTTGAGTTTCACCCATACAGTATTTTTGGGTAGTCAGGCAAGAGAAGGAGAAAGGGTAGAAGAATGCAAATAGTTAGACAACACCCCACATCCAACACTTCATGGAGGGCAAAGGGCAAACCCTCCTTGTTTCCGCTCTGTCCGTTGCCAACGTTTATGCCAAATGTACGCAGTAAGTTATTGGCAATATATATACAGTGGTACCTCGGATTACATACGCTTCAGGTTACATATGCTTCAGGTTACAGACTCCGCTAACCCAGAAATAGTACCTCGGGTTAAGAACTTTGCTTCAGGATGAGAACAGAAATCGTGCTTTGGCGGTGCAGCGGCAGCAGGAGGCCCCATTAGCTAAAGTGGTGCTTCAGGTTAAAAAAAGTTTCAGGTTAAGAACAGACCTCCGGAACGAATTAAGTACTTAACCCGAGGTACCACTCTGTGTGTGTGTGTGTGTGTGTGTGTGTGTGTGTGTGTACTTCTTGACATCACCTCAAGGTTTCATTAACCAGAAGGACAGGAAACAAAATATAACTACCATATGTTAGAAATGTACCACCCATTTTTCAAAGGGGGTTTCCTTAGGTGGAGAAACCTCCTTCTGACTTCTTGGTGTAGATGTATCAGAAGAATTTAAAGATAAATTTCAGACAGGGAAACTGAAGGAAAATGCAAATGAGGCAATATCTGTCCTCGGTGATCTGCGGTAGTCCACCTTTATTAACTGGTGGACAACTTTGTTCACAAATAATTAAAGAAAAGCATGAGTTGAAATACATAATTATTTATTAAACATGTTTAAATATAAAATATTAATTGTATGGCTTTTCCCCAATGAAATATAAATAGCTTTGTTTCTAGGTTTGTTAGGAGGTATCTGCTTATTTTATGGAGATATTGATTGCTTTTATCACCTTAGGCTAAAATAAGCACAACTGGAAACCTGGGGTGTGCATATGTTCTTTTTAACAAGCTTTCTGAATCTGGACTATTGCTAGCAATGCAGGCTATGTGAAACTTCACTTGCCCACAAACCTTTAGAAATGCCACCACTTTTTTTTTAAATGTCTTGAAGAAGACCAAACTAGTCTCTGGAATTAGGTCTGGAATATATTTAAAATTTATTAGCAACTTCCTCCCCAAGGTTGCCAAGGAATTCTAAGGGGGAGGTGCAGTTTTGAAAGATTCAGTCCACCTTCTTGATTCAAAATGGCATCCAGCTGGATTCAAATATTGACTAAAAACTGCTCCTTGGTCATGCAAAATTTGGGTAAGAGCTGTCCAAATTCACAGTGAACAAACAACTTTACACAATATATATAGTAGAGGATTTGGGGTGTGTTCTTATTCCTGAACGAAAAATCATTAAAGGCGGTTATAGGTTGCTATTTTTAACTTAGAGATATTGTGTGGCATTTAGCTAAGTTTTACTCAGAGCAGACACACTGTGATTGCATAAGAAGAGATTGCTGGATCAGGCCAGTGGCCCATTCAGTCCACTATCCTATTCTGACAGTGGCCAACCAAATTAATGGACCTAACTTAGTCCTGTAGATTAATTTTAACTTAGTTGAATACTACTGATAGACTCTGCTTCTTGTTTGAGAGACTGTACATTTTGTCTCTATCCATTTTTGTTTTTAAGCATATTGACATAGAAATCCACAACAAAGTCTATCCCTTCCAATAGTTCACAAAATGGAAAGATAAAATGTAATTTAATGCAGTCCACTGTTTTGATGGTTATAAGGATAAATATGTTGTAGCTTGAAATGTTTTCAAATTTCAAGGCTTGGTGACAAATTAAAGAAGGTTGTAATTCTACCTGAGACCTATTGGTTATGTATATGAATCCTTAAAAAAAAGTTTTATCAGCAAAATGTTATGGTGGTGACGAGACTGGAAATACTCTGAACCAACATAAAATAGGAATATGGGGAGAAAGTTCAAGAAATTAATTTTATTTTAAGAAGTGTTTACAATTTCTTTGCTAATTGACTTTACACCATAAATGTTGCTGAAGAGTAAAAAATAAGTAAGAAATCAAACTATGATGACTAGCTAGTCTGTTGAAACCTGTATGTGTCAAAAAAAAAAAATTGTAAGAATATCTGGGGTCAGAAACACTGCAGTTATGTAATGTAGGCTGCAATTCTATTTACCTGGGAGTAAATCCCATTGAACTCAACGGGACTTACATCAGAGCAGACATACAGGGTGAGTCCTTTAAAAGAGGCCCAGTGGATATAGAGTACACATGTTCCACGGGGCCTCTTTTAAAATACTCACCCTGTATATGCTGGATTGTGCTGTGAAGCTGACTTCTAATGAATGAATCTGTTATGAATGAATATTTGTTGTGTTTGAAGGCTATTGTCAAATGAGGTTAAATGATTCAAATCAGCTATGAGAGAGAATTGCATTGAGCAAGTTTATAGTGTATACTGTGATTTGTACAGGACTATATTTGATGAGAAGAAACTGTTGGAGTTTGCTGAGCTTGGATGCTACTTAGAGTACGACCTCTTTGGAACAGAATTCATTTTGTACCAAATGAATCCTGATATCGATATGCCAAGTGACAATGAAAGAATTTTAAGGTATGTATTGCAATGTACAGACATGGGAACTTCTGCTGGAGATAGCAATGTTGTTAGTGTCCAGGTTTTGAAAGTACCACAAACTGAACCTGTGTGTAAGTTGCACTAGCATGGCATTTCAATGTGCCTGCCTTCCATGTATAGCTATTCTATTTAGTTTAACGTCTTAAATCACAAAGGTCCAGGGCAGACATAATACACAGTCGCTAAGCATGGTTAAGAAATAAGAAGTGGAGAGCCCGTCCTCATTCCTTTTGCATTAAAATTTATCCTTCTCTTTCCCTGAGATCTTTCACCATAGACCAAACCAGGTGTTACAGCAGCACAATATTATGTTCTGTAATTTCAATATCCTGTAGCAGTGATAGAGCCATTTAAATATTCACCCAGTGCTTTTCCAGCTGCATTGGCTCCCTGTGGAGTACAGGGTCAGATTTAAGGTGCTGGTTTTGACCTTTAAAGCCCTTCACGGCCTAGGACCCTCATACCTATGGGACCGCCTCTCCTGGTATGCCCCACGGAGGACCTTAAGGTCCATATATAGCAACACCCTAGAGGTCCCAGACCCTAAGAAAGTTAGATTAGCCTAAACCAGAGCCAGGGCCTTCTCAACACTGGCTCCGGCCTGGTGGAATGCTCTGTCTCTTGATACCAGGGCCCTGCAGGATCTGATCTCTTTCCACAGGGCCTGTAAGACAGAGTCGTTCCACCTGGCCATTGGCTTAGAATCAGTTTGATTCCCTCCCCCTCTTTCTTTTTCCTTTCTCCTCCTATGAAGAGATTGCACCCTAATGTTTTAGTGTTGTATCTTAATCTTTTAAATTGTATTTTAATCAGCTTGTTTTTATTATTGGTTGTTAGCCCTGAGCCCGGTCTTGGCTGGGGAGGGCGGGGTATAAATAAAAAAATATTATTATTATTTATTATTAAAGCACAGCTGTGGCATAAAGGGGGAATTCAAATTCCAGCCCCAACAGGAGACAATATATGGGGAGAAAGCATCTATAGGGGAAGGGTTCAGCCAAAAGATATACCCTGTTTGATAAGAAATTGGCACAACAAGCATTGTAACAGAGGTTGTGACTCTCTTAAGCTTCCATTTTGACTTCATGGTTAAGGGTTAATGCCAGGCATAGGCAAACTCGGTCCTCCAGATGTTTTTCAGACTACAACTCCCATCATCCCTGACCACTGGTCCTGTTAGCTAGGGATGATGGAAGTTGTAGTCCCAAAACATCTGGAGGGCCGAGTTTGCCTATGCCTGGTTAACACTAACCAGGATCTTCCTTAACTATAGTGAGCAAATCAGCTTCAAAACTTGCTTATGATTTAATCATGGTTAAGGTGACCACAGTCACAATCCTGAGTCCTGCTTAAGGCTATACATGGAAGTGGAAGCAGAATGAGTGCAGAAGCAGAGGGAATGTGCAGTCCTGCAGCCCCCTCCTGATCTGCTAACCAGGGTTAGAAAATGGGATTAGAAAACCAGGGTTAGAAAATGCAGTAGACCTTCTTAATGTAGGAAGTCTGTTCCTCTCCCCTATGCTTACCTATCAATACTAAATTCACAACGTTACAAAAAGCAAAGCGAATCAAGAACTGATGGGACAAGAACAAACGTTTCCACAGAAGTTTCAACACAAAAGAAATACTGGCACTCTGGCTGTTGACACACATTACTTACTATTTGGTTGTCAGTACAAACCAGCGTCGTCTTTTTAGCTCTTATGTGTATGGGGACGCTGCAAAAAAAGCATGATTGCGCATCACAGAATAATAACACATTGTTTAAAATCCTGCCGCTCTCATTAGAAAATAAGTTAAGCTAGGTAAAACTGAGCTTTGTTTCAGCTACTCTGTCAACCTGCCCTATACCAAGTTAAATTAACACACTGTGAAGTTGCTCCTAAAACCTCTGCTTCTTGACTAATCTGGAGCCAATTTTGTGATGAATGAAAGCGCTCCTTGGACAGATACGACTGGAAGTTATGCAGGTAGAAAGGCTATTATTATCAGTAATGCTTTTGCTATTGATTGTGGCAACAGTTCACAATACACCTCACCATGACAATTCCCTCATAATTCCTTCCCGAAACTGGCATTGAACAAAAGTAGCAGTAGGTTTTTATAGGGAGACAAGATTGCCTTTCACCCAGAACGATTTGCGCATTTATGCTAGAGATGCCATTAAACTTCTTTTTGTGCATTCAGTTTATTGTTGGTGAGCATGCTAGGAAAACTGGCAGGCTACTATTAATTCATAGTCAGCTCATGTTTGACTTGTATTCATCATAGTCATACAAATCAAGCTGACCTCTGTGTCTGGTTGTATAAACACGGGAGAGGGAAAGGTATTTTTCAGACTTCACTCATGTTCAGTTCCACTAACGCTGAATAAAAGATTTGTAAATATCCAGATTTGCATGTGCATCTTTAAATATGTCCCTTGAGACAGCATAGGATTGTATAGAGATTTTTTTTGGGGGGGGGGGAGAGTGTCTTACGATAACTTCTCAACATTTTATTATTGGAAATTATTACTGAAATATTCAAAAGTATAGTTATGTTATGGTGAGTTTGGAGCGCAATTATGTGGAAAGTTGTTTTCTTTTAAAATCATTGCTGGCTTGCTTATTTATTAATCTGTCAATTCAAGGATGTTTGAGGTAGGTGAAGCGATTATGCTCTCGTACTACTGCATTCATAATAATATATTGCTGCTTATTAGCTCAGATGTGGCTACAGCAATCATGTAAAGCTCAGCCTCACTGATAATAGCAACATAGGCAACTCTTAATGCTTGTGATCAGATAATCTCGATTCATTCCACTATGATTACAGTGTTCATAATAACGAATAACTGAGTATCCCCAAACCACCCATGTCCAACTACAGAATTCTGCTCTCTGGACTGTGCTGACCCATCAGTATTTCTGAATTACACCTGTTTTGCTAGTAGAACATTCAAAGCACGGTGCTAATAAGAGATCCAGCTCTGTCATCTCATACACAGGATTTCAGGAAGCAAACTTTCTCATGTGAATAAGCCCTTGGCTGACTAGGTCTTGTTGCTTCATCACACCTGTATTTGGTCATAGGTTTATGTAGTCAGATCTAAGAGAGAATGCTCTTGGATACCTATTCTTTATATATTTCATGCATTGAGAGTGTGCAGAGTTCTGTTTGCTGGTATCTTGTGCATGGAATCGCCAAACCTCAGCCTTCATTCACAGGCATTGTAGGATTTCCGGGAGGTGGGTGATGGCGGTCTGTGTTGCATTGCATTTCATCTTCAGTTTTCCTAGCTGTTAGACAACTTCCCTCCCCATTCAGCTGACAGCCCTCAAATGCATACTTCTCCTTTTGTCTATATGTTTCCCAGCCAAACTGATTTTTCACTTCCCTCACAGAAGCTGCATTATTTGAAAGCATTCTATAACGTGGATAAATATTCCATTATGTCACAACAACTCTGCCAATAGCTGGTGCCTAGGCAGGCAATTACCAAAGTGTTGGGCGAGTATCATTTTCAGCCAATTTATAGGCATAGCAGCTGTGTTTGCATATCATGCTAAACTATAGTTTAGCACAACTAGCAGGGACAAGCCACAGCAAGCCTTTGGATTGTGCAGTCTCCCTGTTCTTCCTCCCATGGAACCAGGACGAGGAGTTCAGAAGCTACTGCTTCCACTTTTGATTATCTACAGCTTGCCATGTCATCTGCCATGTCCCTTGGACCCCAGACCTGTAGCCCATCTTAAACTGTGGTAAGTTTCAGACAAGCCACTTTCAGTAATGTTGGGTTGAAGACTGCTTATTTGAAACTGATCACAGTCGTTGGTCCAAATGATATGACAAACAGCAGATAAGCAAAAACAGAAGCAAACTGTTCCTCCTCAGGAAGGAGGGAAATGTTAGTTTATTACATTTCTTTTAAAACACACAAGAATAGGTCATTTAATTTAAAATAGTGTGAGTCTGTACCTGATAATTATTTCTGCATTACTATCAGATTAATATGAACTATACATTGACAGATGTGTATTGTCTGTATTTTTGCAGGGTTCGGATGTTGATTGAGGAAGGTTATGAAGACAGAGTTTTGCTTGCTCATGACATGCACACAAAAAATAGGTTGAAGAAATATGGGGGTCATGGATATTCTCACATACTTGAAAACATAGTACCAAAAATGTTAATCAGAGGCATATCGCAAGAAAAGATTGATAAGCTCTTGGTAGGAAATCCCAGGCGATGGTTGACTTTTGAGTAGGGAGTTCTAAGTATTGCTGTGGCTAGATTTGCTTCTGTGAAACTGGAAATTTGAAACCTAAATTCTTTGAAGAAAACTAAAGTCCTACAAATCTGGCGTCTTAAGAGTAGGATAAGCCATAGTGTACCTACTGTTTGTGTCCAGGTCCCTTCAGATACAGGGAGTGGGGGCAGTTACACAGCTTCGCTAAAGGGCAATTTTTATCTGTAATAAGTGTTTGCTTGGCAAGTATGGTAGAATTGTATAACTCTGTTCCACATACTATTTCTAAAATCACCATAAAACTGCTTAAAGCTGCTGGGATGCCTTCATGCAGTGCTTTTAGCGGATACTCGCAACAGCCTTGAGAACAGCATCATGCTGTGCAAGGGCCTAGACTGATGGAGTAATTATGATGGCTTCTGCGGACTCATTCCGGAGTTGGGCCCAAGCACCATTGCTGGAACATTTATGCATAATCCTAGCTGGGATCATGCAAACCCCAGCTGCATGCCTAAGGCACTTCCGCACAGGCACAGGAAATTCCTCTTTTTTATTTTCAACTTCACTCTGATGTGTCAGGTGACACCTGAAAATAGGAGTGGGGAACCTGTTACCCTCCAGATGCTGGACTGCAGTGCCCATCATTACTGACCACTGGCTAGATGCTAACTGGGATCGCTGGGAGTGGAGTCCTAATAATATAAGGATGGGTACAGGTTCCCCAACCCTGTTTTAGTGTCACTGATCTGCAGGAGAGCTGCTATAGAGAAGGGAGGAACCATGAGTAGAAGCAGAAATACAATAATACTTTTGTCAGCTTTCCATGAAACATACATCAAAGTCAGCTGCCCAGTATATTTGTATTCCTGATTATTTATGGTCAAAACACTTTAACCCCTGTGCCTCCTTTGACCTTCCCTTTTAATATTTTGTGTGAATGCTACTTTGAATTGAAATTTTAAAATAAAGCAAAAAAATATGACTGGGGCGCCAAGAAAATATAGAGGTTGCATTTTAAAAAAACCGTGGGTCTTTTGAAGATGGTGTAATGGCTGTATTACTTTAGGAATTTTCTATGCATGTGTATTCAGACATTCAGGATTTACTCCCAGGTAAAGCGCTTGTGGTTTCAGGATTTCCACTTAAAAGCAAAGTCTTTATCCACTTAGTTTAATGGAGCATACTCCCAAGTAGGTGTGCCTAGGGTTATTTTTGGCTAAAATTACCTCCCTCCAAAATGATTTTTTCCCCTAATACTGATGCTCCTATTAAGTATCCATATGCTCTTTGTTTAATGATTAGTTTTTACAAAATAATGTTCGAAATTTAAAAATGTTCACAATGTATAATTACATATTGAGAATATCTTTAAATAGCATTTTAAGGGCTGGATTGCAAAACCGTATCAGGGTGAATAAAAGCATTTAAAAGCCTCCAATACACACTAGCCTCAATTGAATGCACTTCTATCTCATTGAAAATCAGCAGCCACAGGCGCACAAAATGAAGTGTCCTTGCTTTGATTTCAACAGGCTTAAACGTGCTCATTTCTGCATCAGCTATTGGTCCATGGACTCAGGTGATCCAAACTTTTGTTTCTCTTCTAACCCCTCCCCCCCAACATTTATGATGTATTTTATAAACAAAGCAGTTGAGCAAGATTTCACTTTTAGAAATGCTTGTGTCACAAATTATTGTGGAGACAATGCCCAAAATCAAAATATGTAATAACAATAACAATCTAATGTAACAAAGCTTATAATTTACAAATCAGTTTGTCAAGATATGATTTAAAAGAGAAGTTTGCCTTTTATTGTTTCTGTGGTTCTAACCAAAGAAAAATGCTGATTTTGCTAAAGAAAGTGTTATATCTGTTTAAAATGACAGTCTGGTGATCTAACGTCATTTATTATATTTCCAAGCGTGCACAGCACTTGATATCCTGTGGCAATAAATTTCTTGTCTTATTTCATATTGGCTGTGCATGTCTAGTTATAGGCCACATTTGAGTGAACTGCATAGAAAAAGGGATTGCACATGTGTAGTGGAAACATTATTCTGCATTTCCAAAAAAAAGCAGCACTCTCTACTGCATCCAGAGTTGCAATGGAAGCTTCTCTCCAGGGGGTGGGGGTGGGGAATAGCCCCTCTGCATAGGTGAATCTGCTCCTTCATGACTTTTGTCTCGCTTGAAACACGCTATTTGACAATGGGGAAAATCTCCAATGCTTTGCAGTCAATTGATGTATACCAAATGTACTCTCCATCAAATCAATTGTGAAATCAGTGGATGGAAGTCAGATGTATTTTTCATCAAAGCAGAAACATTCAGTTCATATATGCTTACATTAAAATGAAATAAAAAATTACTGCATCAACTCACAAACAATTATTAGGATAATTTAATCAGAATTGGCTAATCTAGTGAAAAGTACTCTTATTTTGAGAGAAGAATATGTGCTGTTGGATACATATTTTGCTATATATAAATAGCATGGTGGAGCATCATGAATCTGAATGCCTTCCAAAGAGGGAGAGGAGAATGGAATAATGACATAATTCCAAAGTTCCTTTTGGAGAATAGATCTACCTTTTTAATATCTGATTTACAAACATTTAAAAAATAAGACTGCATTATGAAATAAGGGAATGATATTTTGGAAACTTGAACATACTTTCAAATGGAAGTTGAGCTTTCATGGTTTCTGTTAATGGGCTTGTGCTGTTATTTCTCTTTATAAGCAAAATATTAAAATAAGTTCATTTACGCAAGCTCCATATTTGCAACATGTTGATCCTAAAACCATTATACCCAGAGTTAACTACAACTGGGTTTTGGTGGAAATTACTTTCATGTAAATGCATTTAGGAGTGAATACAACAAGCATTAGAAAAGCACTTCAAAGGTGGACTTGAACAGTCCAATTTAGAGTTCCCCCTATAATTTCTGCTTTCAATTGTTTAGTGGGTTTAAACAAAAAAACTGTCAGAAGCATTAATTGTGTCAAATGGTCTTTCATGGAAGTACAACTGAAACGTCTCTTGAACCTCTTGACATAACAAAAATAGGTTTAAAGTAAACATGGTTTTTTTGTTTCACATTTGAGAACACCTCCTTTTGCATAATTTATTACCTTTTAATGATATACATATATTAAACAATCCTATTATTTATTCTGCAATCTGGCACTCTGAAGGCCTTTGTATTGGACTAATGGTAAGATCTAGCCCATCCTTTTTGTTTGGCACTCTTGCAGTGCAATCCTGCATGCCTACTCAGAAGCAAGTCCCATGCAGTAGTATCTTGGGTAGGTGGGCATAAGGGTTGCATCTTAATATATCCTCATTACTCCCTTTGTAATCATTACAGTGATGCTTTGTCATACTGTATATAAAATCTTAAAGCATTTATGTCAAACAAAATAGAAACTAGAAGTTTTCATCCAATATTGTTTGTTTCTTGAACACTCATTTCAGTCAGACTTTAAATAATCCATTAAGAACAGCTGTCTTAAAATTGTCTATATACTAACAGGTGCAGGAGAGAGCAAGTGTCACTGGTTAAAAGGGTATAATGAGTTGAATTGGCTCCTTTACTACATGTGTTTAGGAAGGTAAATCAGTTTAATCAGGCGGCTGCTTTCTATGTTTTATGTTTTATAGTGATTTACCGCACATCATTGATCTTCTTGAGGGGAAAGTGATATATAAATAGTGATATATACTGTTGCTTTAACACTAGCGGACCAGCACTTGGCTATGGGTTCTGTTGGTGGCTTTTGGCATATCATATACTCCACCTTCTAATTCCATAGCTATTAATTTATAGGCTTGTTACAGAAATAAGATGATTGAAAGGCATTCTGCCCATGAACACCACCATCCTAAATGTAATTGATGGTCTATCGAACTGTAGGTCTTTTCTGATGCTGCAGTGGTACAGTTTATTTGCATAAACCATCCTAAGCACATGCTGGGGCAGCTTGCTCCACAACTAGGGTGTAAAAATGGTTTACTCATCTGATAAATAGCCAGGCACCAACAATCATCTCTCTCACATTCTAACATGATGAAGGCTGCAATCCCATGCATGCATACTTGAGCTTACTTCTGAGAAGACATGCATAGAAGATTACGCTCAAGGCCCCCTTTCCATATATGCACACATACACATGTACCTGCACAAAATGTTTAACTTTATGTGTGCAAATATACCAAACCCTGCAGACAGGACTGCATTGGATCATTGGCAGTGTGACTGGCACACCAGCTGCCTGTGTGAGAAGCTATATAAACAGTTGTACCTGTTTGTATTTACCTTACATGCTGCGTGTGTTAGCACCATAAAGGAGACACTCCCATCCAGCAGTAGCCAAGTGTGGATGGAGCCCAAGAAATTAAGCACAAGGTGAAAATTATGTAGGTAGGATCAGGCTCAAGCATCATGAAGTTCTGAAGGGCAAAGCAAATGGGCTGCATTTGGCAACATGTTGCTCCCCCAGGATCGAGTATCCACTTTTACGGTTTTTCCTTATAGGCCAATGGTTATTCGTGCCTGTGAAAAAAATGTTGCACCTGGAGACACCGCTGATAGTGGGCATATGACACTGAAAGTAGGGTATGGTCTCCCCAGAAAGATGACCCACATGGTGGGAAGAAGTCTTTGTAACACGTGACTAGGTTTTTAAAGCAAAGGTAAAACACCAGATCATATACCTAATGGAAACTGCAATATATTGTCTTGACAGAACTGGACTCTTATATGGTTTTCTCTCTTTTGCACATTGATTCAGAGCACTGCAAGTGCTTCCATGTGCCTGTGGCCCCTTTGCTTGTGCAGAGACTGCCCATTCACTTCAGTGGAGGCAGCAGAATTATTTGCATAAAGGAGTTTATACACAGATTTGCTCCCTCTCTTGAGATGAATGGGTCAACCCTTGTGGGTGATGCAACTCCTTCTGCATATGCTGGAGCTACAAAATGTGTGTAAGAAATCAACGGACTGGAGCAACAGAGAAAAATGGAAAACGAGACACAACTGTGCTACAATCATTTTCAACCCCTGACTTGCACCTATATACAGTTAAATTAGAGCTAAGGCTTGAAGCAGGTTAATTTTCTATTTCTAGGTAGTTAAGGGCATATAAGGACAAGGCAAATGATTCCTTCGGAGGGAATAAGCAAAAATTCAATTACATCTTCTTTTTATTGTAAAATCATTCCTCACCACATACTATGAGTTGGATCCACACGCATCATAGTTAGCAGGTAAGTCACAAGTACCAAAGCTGATGGATGGATAAAAGCAGCAAGATCATAGCACACCAAAAGTATCATATATGCCGAAGAAATAATTCAGTGCTTTAAAGATTTTTTTTCCCCTCTATAAAAGTTGTGATCTATATAGGACTTCATTCACATGGACACTAACAACAAGGAGTATTTTGCTTTGGCGATAGTGGATCACACATCTGTTTAACTTGCTTTATATTTTTTTTAAAACACACTCTCTGGGTTGTACAGATGTGAGTCAGGTAGCATTTTGCCCCATGAGGTGTCCCTCGGCCAGCATCCTCTGGGGTTCTTGATTCATCGATTTTGTGTTTTTTGCCACGTGAATCCATCACTTAGAAGAATGTGATTTTGTGTTTCACTTAATTATCAGTCAGCATAAATTATAAATCCAGAAAATGTGCTGTATTTGTTGTTGTTTCCTCCATGTGCTTTCCCTCCATCTAATTTTATGTAGACTTCATCTCCTGGCTCCAAATGTAGAACAACGCTGTTGCTGGCATAGTCGTAGTTTTGGTCTGCATCCTGAGCAATGGCACTAGCTCGCACCTAAATAAAACAAAACACAATGAGAATATGTGGTTGGTTTGCAATTATAATACTCGTCAGCTCTGTGGAACGGAAGTGCACAGGTAGCTTGCTCCAATGCTCTTCTTGGTAGAAAAAGGTTTTGCCTTTACCACTGTGGCTACTGACATATCAGAGACTAGCAGAAGAGTCGGCCATAGCAAATTATTTTAACTTACGCCACCTAACATCAGCTTGTTTGACTGAATAATACATGACTACCGTCCATCAACATACGCCTGTAACCTTTCGCAAAACCACTTCTAATAACTAGAAACACTATTTTATGTATTTGTTTCCCATATGCATAGCCAGGGCTGGATTTAGGTTTGATGAGGCCCTAAGCTACTGAAGGTAATGGGGCCCCTTCTATGTCCAGCTGTCCTTTGTCAACAACAAATTGTCACTGTTTTTTGTGTTGAATATATGCTGTGTGGTAATTTATGGACCTAATAGGTATCTAAAGCCATTTGAACATAACAAAAGGCTAGCAGGCAGGGCCCATTATTTCCATCATAGGAGCCTACACAACACAAAACACTGTTGCTGTATGTAGGTTTTATTTTATTTGCTTTTTATCTTATATTTTGGAAATGTACATCCAGGTTTTTTTTTCTTTACATTTTTTTGGGGGCCCCCAAGAGAGTGGGGCCCTAAGCTATAGCTTGTTTAGTTTATACGTAAATCCAGCACTGTGCATAGCCCATGCTCTTGGGAGCTCAGGGTAGTGTAGGTGAGGATTATTCTTCTCACGTTAGGATGAGAAACAGACAGGCCCAAGGTCAATCCAAGAATTGTAATGCTGAGAGGTATCCAGAACCAGTACACCAGTCACTTTACCAGATCAGTGCCCTAGACTTAAGCCAAAATATACAGAATTGTGAAACAAGCAGCGGTAGTTCAGTTAGTTAGAGAATGATGCCAAGTTCTGTGAGTCTGGTGTTTTGCCGGTGTGCTTTGCACCTTATTTTCCTTGAACTGTGCCTCCCACTATGCATGACAAATTGCTTCTGACACGAAGGGGAATTTTTCAAAGCAGCTTGTGAACATATGAAATGAAAGAGGAATAAGCTAGCATTCCACTGGGCCAGCACAAGCCCACCTAATGAGCCTAAGCAGAGGGAGGGGGTTGGGGGAGGCAGGCGAAGCCAGCCACAGTCTTGATCTCATATCACATTCAACAGGTATGCATCCGTCTAACATTGCACTTGACTCCTGTTGGCTTGGCTCGTGATCAGAATCAGGCCCATGGTAGGAGAAAGGATATGAGGTTATCATAGAGATGTCAAGAGGGGTAAGTATATAATAAAACCACCCCTTGATGCCTTTGAATCAATGAACTTTACATCATGTTGAAAGCAGAGTTTAAATTGATGTACGAAGAAGATGCAACACAGGAGCAGGAGCAAGCTACAAAATCAACTACCTCCACGTTCACTGAATATATGCAGTTTGAAAGCCATTCAGCAAATTTAACTAATGCAGGGAACATGTACATCACACCAGCTTTTCTGATTTGAGATTATATTTTAAAATCCTGAATTCTTAATTATGCAGTGTCTACAAGCTTAGAGTTGTAAGTGTCTTGGAGTTTTAAAGAATGCCATATTGAATTTTATATAATTAACAAATCTGGCCGCAATCCTAAGCCCACTGAAGTGGAACTGCACGTAGACCAGTTTAACAGAATCGTTTCAGTAGCAAAATATTTAACTATTTATTTGTAGGCGATTTATGTTAGTATAACACATCATCTGCCTTGTTGCCTGTTCTTATTCCACCACAGATATACATGACTGCTGGTGATTTAGTGCTTTTGCAAACCTAAACTAAATAATGCATAACTTGGCATGCAATCTCCTGGATATATTTTTTAAAAAATCTTTTTGGAATTGAAAAATGTACAGTAAGTAAAAAAATAATAAATACACAGATGCCTTTCAAAAGTATAAATGACAGGTTTTCAAATTAAATTTTCATGTGATATGATCCCACATTAATTCAGAAATGTTAACAATGGATAAGACTTTTCACCATGCTAGATCTCATAAGGTATTAGGAAGCTTAGAAATCACAGAAGCAGGAAAAACCTCCTCTTCTGCATCATATAGCAAGGTTCGGAAAGGCTTAAAAGATTTGTAATTGCTTAACAAATGTTCTAATTTAAGCTGATATACTGTATAATATCCTAGGCAATTCTACTTTGTATTTGTATCTTCAGAAATATGACACATATTGAAGTGATCTGCCTTGGCTACTCATAAAGCAAAAACTATCAAATTGTGTATTTCCTAAGGGTTAACGGGTGCTTGGGAGGAGCAGGTGACTTCAGACCATTAATCCCAGAAATCCTAGGAATTACCCTGTTTTGAGATCATTACTGATATTACAAATAGTAAAGAGGAAGAATGGATGATTGGTTTTGTTTGAATTATTATCACAGAGTTTTAAGCTCAACCAATGTCTGCATTTTATTCAATCGAACTGCTTAAATTATCGTGCAGATTCCATGCATGCACTATTTAAATGCTGCACGTCGAATTTATGTAGCATTTCATGTTACAGTCTGATGAATCCTCCCCACTCCCCCACAAAATAGCACGAGGTCTATTTTGCTATTGGCTCTAGCATTAAACGTGCTTCATATATCACTATGAACACTATGTAAAGGCAGTGGGCACTCTCCACAGCAATGGACATTGTCTGCACTAAAAGAATTGAAAGATTTATTGATTGAACTCCTAAAAATACTTTGCAGATTGCAGTCATTTTGTGTGCAGCTACAATGCCTTGTGACTTAACCTTGATCCCATGCAATGTGTGTGCTACCTTTGCAAGGCTCTGCCTCTTTTGTTGTTGTTTGGCAACCAATGTAATTTCTTTTTAAAGCCTATAAGGACAATCTTAGAAAAAACCCTATGTGTATTGCAGTACACGTTAAAGGTGCCTCAAAATTAAAAACAATTAATGTGTGTGTTACATAAGTTTCACAATGGCTCGCCTCACTGAGTTATACAAGTATACAGGGACATTAAAACTGCAAACAAACCAATTATGTTATAGCTTCAGCACTTCTATATTTAAGCTAACTGTTAAGGAAGGCAATGTGTTACATGGGAGTCCTTGAGATATTCAATAAATGTTGCTCTTGAATGATTCCACCCCCGACCCTGCAAGTCATATTCACTCTCAGTACTCATGCTTTCCTACATTACCATGCTGAATCTATTAACACCCTGCTCTCTTTTTGGCCAGTCCCACCAATATTTTGTATTGAAAGCTCTATTGTCCAAGTTCATTAGCTGCCCGCTTCGTCAGATCAAACAGTCCCCCAAACTAAAGCTACTCACTAATTTGAAAAAAATGTCTTAAGAATTTCTTATGGCTGAATAAATATAAACTGAGTTCAGAGCTGCATGATCAATATTTGTCTATTCTGTTTGTATAGTGACTAAATTAAGCAATTTATAAATGTCTGGAATTATGTACTTAGTCTATCTTCAGGCTTATTTTAATATTTATGATCATAAAAATATGCCATGCACTCTACTGTGTTCTGTTTTTATTTCTATCATGTGTTAATAATGCTTTTTAATAACCAAAATTAAAAAGTTTTTTTTTCTGAACCAGATGGTTGTACGTGTGAGACATGGCAATTTGCTGTGCTGTATTTAATGTTTAACAATGTGGGCTCATCTCTAAAAGCAATATTTATGGCAGGTGTTTGCTAATTTGATTAATTTCTACTGATGTCCCCATAATTTCATTTTTACAGTGCTTTTGAGAAACCATAAACAAAAGGTTAAGTGGCGTATCAGATTAATATACCAGCCTTTGATGCTTCCATCTGTGATCTGCCGTTTAACACAAAGCTGAAGTGACTGAAAGAGCTCTCATCTGGTTACGGTACACTGGTATTCTCCAGTACCAGTGTTCAGCAATTTCAGCTTCATTATTCTGCCTTTCAGGAAAAAAATCTCTTCAGTCTCAGGCACTTTCTACAAACACGCAGTATCATATTTCAGCTTTTTTGGAACCTTGGTTAGAATACTGTGAAATCATGTTCACTGTGCTACCTACAATTAAGGCTATATAAAGTAATGAATGAAAATAAAAGATTAAAGGTGAACCCCTCATAGTCTGGTGAGTTGCTGCAAACATGAAAACAATGACCAGCAAGCCCTTTGGGGAGAAACGGTGTAATCTATGTTTACTGGACAGTATTTAGCACCCTACTGATATAAAATAACTATTTAGAAGTAAATGTAAAATTCATACTTTCTGATAAAGGTTTGAAAAGCTACCTTATTTCTAAACTTACGACTTGTGATATAGTTTGATCAAACTCCTTTTTTTGTTTTCCCTTTTTTAGAATTAAATGTTTGTGCATACATCTGTAATGTTTATTATACTTTATTTTCACCCATAAACAATCTATTGGACTTCTGCATCAACAAAGCCCTTCTAGGCTCATGTTCTGACTCATTTTATCTTACCCTGTGCCATTATCAATCTTGTTTACAAAGACAATAATTAATGCAAGTGTGTTTGTGTGTGGTATGTATGTCAGATCTCTGGGGGCCACTTTAAAGCCAAAGGAAGCAGGCAGTTGTGCCACCATTTTGACTACTTAAAATGGATTATATATGCCTTTCACGTTATAGAAACGTGTGATCTTTTAATGTTTGGCCTAGTGAAGCCTTGAAGTGTGGCTGGGAAGGGGTGCCAAATTTGGAAGCAAAGCAAAGATGATGTTTTAAAAGCTTTCCTCTTCGCAGACCTTCCTCTTAACCGAGGTTGGAAAGTTCCTTCCCCTATGCGACCCTGTGCGTGTGTAAGCCACGCTGAGCAGCGTAGGACTTGTGGCTGAGTCAATAAAAACATAGTATTGATAGGGTTGTAATGCGGGAGTTATGTTTCGTGCAGTGCCAGCGGCGTCGTGAATCTTGAACTTATGCCTGTCATTCTAGCATTTACCCTCCTCGTCTCTCCACCTGTCAATGTGGAGTTTGTATACAGTATATAAAAAAAGGTTTTGGTTTAAAAAAACAAACAAACCCTGACTACTCTCCAGGTTATTATCCCTAAAGCCACGAATCTGGGGCGGAAAGTTCCCATTCCCTGGAGCCCAGTCCCTTCTCAGCGCCGGCCATTTTCTTCCTTCCTCGAGGAGGCGTGGGTGGGTCCCCCAGAGAGATCCTTTCCAACCTGCTCCGTCGTCGGAGCAGATGGAGAGCCTCCCCTGTCTCGAAAAGGCTCCTTCTTCCCCTGCTCAGGAGCTTCTCCTCACCCCCGGGAAGCCGCCCCTCCACAATCCCCACCCTCTTCCCGCCTTCCTCCCTCCGGCGCCACGAGGAAGGCGCGCAGCGAAAGGCCCGCGCTTTTCCCTCGCCCTCAGGCGACGCGCGGAAGGAAGGAAGGGCGGGCGAGGGGGAGAGGGGAAGAAGCAGTTCTCGACGGGACTGCTTTTCATACCAGTTCTTTTTTTTTTTCTTCATTTAAAGCACACACGCGCAAAAAAACCACAAACGCAAAAACTACGCCTGCGCGCCGCGCGCTCTTTACTTTCTTTCTCCTCGCTTTTTGCAACTTGGCCAGCAAAATCCCCGAGGTGAGTTGTTCTGCCCTTAATGACTGAGCGCGGCTGGATTCGCGCCGCGTCCACCGGGTCCTTGTCAACCCATTTTGTTCTCGTTGTGGCCTCGCTCATTTGTGACTCCGAGAAGGCGGCTGAGGGGGAGGGGGGCAGGGAGAGAGAGAGGAGGAGGAGGAGCGTTTATTAAGAGACCCAATTAAAGGAGGCGGGGGGAGGGGGGTCTCTCTCTTGCCTCAGAAACGACCACCATGGGGGGGGGCGGCACACGAGCGGGCTGGGTTTCCACTAGACGCCGCCTTCACACCTCGGGAAGGGAGAGGAGGCGGGTGCCCCAGTGGGGACGCGCTCGCCCCAGATTCCTATTCTCGGATTCCCCCCCCCCAGGAAGGTCGGGGCTCCTCTTTCGCATGACTCCGTTTCCCTCTCTCTCAGGACTCCTTTCCCTCTCCCCGGCATGAATTGATTGACCCGGCGCCCGCCTGCTTTTTGCGACTCACGCTCCACTGAGCCCCATCAATTAGGCACTTTCACTCTCTGTACTTCATGGGGGGCGGGGCGGGGCGGAGGGCAAGGCGCGCTTTTGCTGCCAAAGGCGGCCAGCCCGCCCTTCTGCACCGGGGGTCCCTCGGGCTCATCCTGCCAACATCTCTGCCCCAGAGACACCAGCGACTGACTGAACCGCCCCTTCCAACTTAGGCTCGGGTGCCAGACTGCAGCTCCCATCACCTCTGGCCATTGGCCCTGCCAGCTGAGGCTGATGGGAGTTGGAGTTTCACGTCGATGGGGGTCGCAAGCCCCCCATCCTGGGGTTGCCACCAGCCGCAGCTCTTTCATAGGGACTCGCGCCCGACGTCCCGTGGAGCCTCCGCTGTTTTCCCTCGCGGAGGAGGGGAGGAAGGAAAGGCGTCCACGTGGATTTGTCTTGTGGATGGGCACAGGCTCATGGTGCACCGCTTCCTCCCTAATTTAGCCTTTCCTCATAAGAGGAGGGAAGAGCCCTTCTTTGCCATTTATCCAGCCGCAGGGGCTGGGAGAAGGGAGCAGCTCGCGCAACTTAAGTCGCCTCGGGAAACAGCGACGCTTACTCAGTAGCACATACGGAGCTGATGGGCTGCCTCGGGTGTAAGGGCAGCAGGACGCTGCAGCCGATCCCCGTGGCTTTTCCTTGCCATTTCCAGACTTTACTGCCTCCTGGGAGCCTCCCGCAGCTCCTTCTTCCTCGAGCGGGCAGGCTGAGCCCCGGGACCTTTTTAACGATCCCGGGGTTGTCTGTCCGTCTCTCACACACCCTTCCTCACCACGTTCAGGTTCAGCACGTGAACAAGGAAGAGTGTCTTAAAGTATATACGCAGAGTCCCATCTCTTCACCACTCATAGCTCCTAAAAGTCTCCAAGCTAGTTTGACAAAAGAGATCTCTTAACATTAGGAATTAAGCGCTGGGCACCTCCCCAAATCTCACCATCTCCCCGGCTTTGAGGCTGCCTCTTTTCTACTCACTACCACTTCCAGGCGGCGCTCCTCTGGATTCCTTTGGGTTTGGGGCTGGCAAACTCCCCCCGGGCAGAAATTCAACAAGTGCAGCTTTGGCACAAACGCGCTCTTCTCGCCTTTGCCGCCTCACCTGTTGAATTTCCACCTGGCTGGCCAACCAGGAGAGTCGCGCCAAGTAATAGCAACGCGGGCAAACAACAACAGATGGCAAGCCTGACCTCTTGGGCCTCGATCCGAGCTGCTGCTGCACCCCTAAAGCGGCCTCCCCTCCCTCCCTCCCTCCCTCTCTTTCTCCCCGCCAGGCCCCACCTGGTTGTTCTTGCACAGATCGGCCCACATGCTGGTGCCGTCGCCGCCGCGCATGAGCACGTGGTAGGTGAAGAAGTAGATGCCGGGGATGGAGCAGGTGAACTTGCCCGTGGTGGGGTCGTAGTGGTTGCCCAGGTTGGTGACGACGTCGTCGAACTTGAGCACCTCGTAGCCCTCGTGCTGCCGCTTCAGGCCCGCGTAGAAGGCGATCTTGGGCACGGTGCTGTAGGTGGCGGCGCTGATGGCCCCGGCCGCGTTCAGGCCCGGCGCCCCGGGCGGGCCCGGCAGGCCCTGGCGCCCGGGCTCTCCCTTTTCCCCCGGCGGGCCCACGGGCCCCGGCGGGCCGGGCTCCCCCGGCGGCCCCCTGGGCCCGGCCTTGCCCGGCCGGCCGGCCTCCCCCTTGGGGCCCTGGATGAAGGTGGGCAGCGACTGCATGAGGCCTCGGTCCGGGGTGGCGGCCGTGCTGGGCGCCTTGGTGCCGCCGTAGGGGTCGCACACCATGCGGCAGGTGCCCAGCATCTCGTAGTGCGCCGACGTGCCGGCCGAGCTGACCAGCACCGGGATGAGGATGACCAGCAGCAGCACCATGACCACCCCCAGCGCTCCGGCCGCGATCAGCCGCCGCCTGCTGCCCACCAGGCGGCTCAGCGCAGGGCGATCCTCTTGCCTGCTTTTGGACAAAATCTTGATGGCGGGACGGGAACCTCCTCGAGCCGAAATCCTCGCGGGGCACCTTCCCCGCGTCCCAGGGGGCTGCTCGCCCTCGTGCTCCTCCTCGCGGCCGGAAGGGCTCCTTCGCCCGATCCCCCAGGCCGAGTCCCGAGAGCCTCGCTCCCCGTCGGGGGCACCTGTGGCTGCCGCCGCCGCCGCCGCCGCTGCTCCCCTCGAGAGGAGCCGCGCACACTTTTATGCTGCTGCTGGCGATCGACTTTTCCCCCCGCCTGTGCCAGCTCGAATCAAGTTCCCTTCTTCTGCTCCTCCCGGTCGCCTCTCTCGCTGCCTTCCCGCGGGGTTGTTGTTTTTTTTTTCTTCACCTCTCCCCCTCTCCTTTTTCCAACCCCTTCTTTCCGTCACTCATTCATTCTGTCTCTTCAGCAGTCAGCTACACCAGCTCGGCGAGGGGAGCGGGATCGGAGATTCCTGGGGAAATCCTGCTCGCGCCACAGCCGGATGGAGAGAGAGAGGGGGGGGCGCTCCCCGCCGTCCGCCTTGGCCGCCTTCCTAGCTGAAGCTGCCGGGGTCCGCGAGCCGCTCGGTTCCGCTGCCGGGAGCTGCCCACAGGCTCGTCGGAGCGCGCGCAGCCACGACGAGAGGAGGCTGGCAGAGGCGCCGCCGGGGTAATTTATAAGCGCCCGAAAGCGCAGGGGAAAGGGGAGCTGCCTTGGCATCTCATCCCAGCATCTGCTCGGCTCATCCCACTCGCCCAGAGTTTGGCATCTCTCTGACAAGTGTGGGGAAATGTTTTCCTCCCCTCTCTCCCTCCACAACCCCCCTCCCCGTCTTACTTTTTTTTTTTTTTAATTCTCGCTGAGCGGAGAAATTGTGAGCATTTCCCTTGCTGAGCCCTGAGTGATGACAGTTCCCCCACCCCGTTTTCTTTTTGGTTTTTTTTTTGCTGGAGCAGATCAAGGAGGGGGAGAGAGAGAGATCTACTTAGCACCTTTTGGATAACCTTCAGATCACTGATCCAGAATGTAAAGGTCACCCACACTTCTTGTTGGATAGTTCCCCCAGCGGTCTCTGTCTGTCATGTGAAGTATCACTTTTAATACAAGGGCAGTGTATTACAGTTCACCCAGCAAAAAGCCATTTGGAAACAGCATCCGCTCCAACCACTGCCATGCACTGTGTTGGACATTTTTCCTAGTTTAAATCTGCATCTACCTAAAACACATGGAAGAAATACCCTCTGTCTGTTTCTCAGGAAATTAAATGTGGAACTATGGTAGTATGTAGGATAGAAAGGACTTTCCCCTGCTCTTTGGCCAGACACTGCATTATTATTATTATTATTAGTCATCTGTTAACAATATTTCCTTAGGCAACACTGTAAATATCTTTATAATAGTGCTCCTTTAAATATATCAGGCTAGGAGACCCTCCAGCAAAGGCGATATACATCAAAGACAAGGAAGAAGTTTCTGTGCCAACTCTGAGCATGTTTTCCCAAAGAGAGGAAGTGTTTGCTCAACTGACTTCTCCTTTCTTAAACTGCCTTCCATCCCGTCCTCCCCACTGGAGATGGGGTGAATGTCATTCTCCAGCAAGGTGACTAAGCCACCAGCTTTCCATAATTTGAACTGGTAGTTCTCTGCAACAGATATCAAGCTAGTACCATTTCCCTTCCAAGCACAAGGCAGAACAGGGCTGCCTTAAACAAATAGGCCAAATTGATTCCTAAATCATACTTCTGCATTCAGGAGCAATTGGACGTCAATCAAATGCAGGTGACATTTGCCTGTCAATACAGGGATGATGGCTGAACGAGTGTGACTTATTACGGCGGGGCAAGAATCTGAAATGAGCAAAAGCAGCAAATAAGCAAATAACACCATCCCCGGTGAGTGTTGATCAGAAAGCTGTGATCTTGTCTGGGGCTTGCATGGCACGAATCTCTTCTTTATAATACCGCCCCCCGCCCCCCGTGGACTCCCGTTCTTTTTCTTCTGTTCCGTAACACAATAAGGTCAAAGAAGCAGCCAGTGGGGAAACAAAGATCCATCGATTCTTCCTTTTAAGTAGAAATGTCAGCGGCTCCTTGCACTCTTCCCTAAGAGAATCAAAAAGCAAAGACAGTGTGGCCACACCATGCCACAGATGGACCAGCCCAGCTCCTTATCTCCACAGCGTGCTGCTGATAAAAGCCTCAGCTTTTGGCATTTGTAAATATTCCCAACGCCGCCCCTTTTTCTGATTTTTGTCAGAGCTCAACCTTTAATAAAGTTGTTATCTCGCAAAGACACAATCCAGTTGCCAGATCCCTTTGCTTCAAGCTCCCAGGCCATCCTGTGAAAGGCTTTCTTCTTCTTCTTCTTTTTTAACGGGCGTCTGTCTTGTTTATGCTACATCAGCTTCTCCCCAAAGGAAGGTTTTCTTTGTAAAGAGAGAGAAAGATGGAAAAGTCAGAAGTGCAACCAGTTTTTTGTATTCCTTGCATCAACATTAAGTTTTCAGAGCATCATATTTAGCTATAAAAAGTATGCACAATCTATCATTAAATATTATTATTGCAGTCATATCCTACCTTTCCTTCAAGGAGCTCAAGGGGGTGAACATGCCCCCCCCACTACAGCTTATCCTCACAACAACCCTGTGTAGGTAGGGCTGAATGGGGATTGCACTAGTCCAGCACTCTGACCACTACGCCACACTGCTACTGACAAAATCATTCCTCAAATGTGGATCATTATGTAGCCAAAACATAAGGGGAAGTGTCAGCAGGCTGAGAGAACCTCCAGGTTGCAGAAGTACCAAAAAAGAAAAGGGGGGGGGGAGAATAGGGAATAAAATCTAAGGGGCAAGGTGGGGGGAAACAGCATGTTCAATGATGATTGGATATTTACTGACTTTTAAAGATGAAAAAAATGCAGAAGAGAAAGGCAAATAAGGTGTGGCTTCCTGACTGGTGGAACATCGGAGAGCACTCTGCACTGCAATGTTTTGTTGGATGGCTGGGTACCCCAAATGGGGCTATTTTGAGAAACAGGAATGATGATTAGAATATAGCTCAGTTGGTAGAGCATAAGACTCATCATCTCAGGGTCAAGGGTTCAAGCCCCATGTTGGAGAAAAGATTCCAGTATTGCAGGGAGTTGAACTAATTCTATGATTCTATGCTATTTGTATGGTGTGATTAGAATATCCACATGCTGGGTGAATCCCAAGGTTTGCAGAAGTAGAAACAATCTTTTTTAAGGGCAGCCCCCACCCCACCCCATCAAAATGTGGACTAAGCATGATCAGTAGATACATGAGATGCCGGGGGGGGGGGGGGAGAGAGAAAAGGCAAATGATGGGGGAGGGAAATGGAACGGAGTATTCCAGGAAAGGGCGCAGTTGACTAGCTGTAATTTTGAATAGGAGCACTAGTCTGCCCTGAAATTTTTTGTTGCAGATCTCATTTGCCTTTTTTTAGTTTCAAGATCTGTATTTACGTTGAAATGGGTCCAAATATATGTTCATGTTATTCGTGCCAGGGTCAGGGATGGCTCTACAATTAGACAGAGCCAGGCAGCTGCGCCAGGAAACAGATGTTGTGGAGTCAGGAGCAGCAGTTCCTTGCCAGGAGATAGAGCTGTATGTTCCACAGCGGGCACCCCCAAACTCGGCCCTCCAGATGTTTTGGGACTAGAACTCCCATCATCCCTAGCTAACAGGTATGGGATGATGGGAATGTCCCAAAACATCTGGAGGGCCGAGTTTGGGGGTGCCTGTTCCACAGGGACTGCCTCAGCTAACCTGGTGCAGAGGAAGGTGCTGTCCCACTGCCAGTGCTGAACTAAAATCCAGCAGTCAGCCCTGTTGGTTTTTATTTGTGGGGTGGAGAGAATCTTGTCCACTTCAGGAAACAAAGTCTCTTTGGCCATCTCTGCTCAAGGAGCCTGAGCAGCTCAAGGTGCGCATACATGCACACACACACACACACACACACACACACTGATCCATTGCACTAATCTAAGTTCAGAGTGCAGCAGCTCTAGGGAAACAAGCCATCCCACTGTGCTACCCTCAAGTTAATCCTGTTTTATGTATTTAGTTGATTAAGACAAATGGAAAAGTTCTAGGCTCCAATTCAACATGCTTGTAATGGCGCACGTGAGAACGAATGTGGCCCTCAAGGGTAGGGAAATGTTTCTGATACTTCCATTGCTAAGATATACAATGTTAGAGAAGTGTGGCTGCAAGATGAATTGGACTATGCCTGAGCATCTAAGAGCAGCTTTTTCTCCTGCAAGTGAGCACAGCCTCTTCCCACTTTCAAGGGGTTTTTGATGGATAGGCAGATATTTCACCATTTCAAATGCTGATTCTGCAGTTCTCAGTCCGTCCTCTCCTCCATGTTTCACACACAATGTCCATGTCTTCACACACACTTCAGATATTATGCTCATTTAAAATTGCTGCTCATACCTTTGTGCAACCAAATATTCATTTGGTGCCATGAAAAAAGCATAATTTATTGTTGAAAGGATGCAGGAACAGCCTCTAAACCACCAACAGGAAGCAAGTTGACCTGAAGAAACAAGTACTCACCTTTGGAAGATTTAGCATAGAATGCATACTGCACCCTAGGATATAAGTTGGGGTTTACTGGGCTTAATAAAAATGTTTGGGAGCCACTTTTCACAAGATAAACCACTCAGCACATGAAGATGAATCAGTCATGTGCAAAGTTAGTATTCTCCTCTTACTGCAGCTAGTATTCTCTTACTGCTTCATTCAAAATAATAATATCTGAATAGGTGTTGCAAAAAATGGATGCCATCAGAACAACAAACTTGATGTCATTGCTTTGCCATGGAGTATATTTGATGGCTACAGGCATTCATAAAATTGTTCTGCTACAGGTACTAAATACATACCGGTACTTCCATTCTAAATTCAGAGTCCTCTTTGAAGCGCACATGTGGCACTCTTTGCAACTCCCTCTTGCTTTTTCCTCTGATCTCATCTCTACAGTCACCTTTGATATCCATAATCTTTGATAAAAAGCTTCATTTATTAAGAAGTATTTGACACAGTGGGGGGCGGGTTGCATCCTTTTCAAAGGCCTTTTGCTTTTTTAACTTTGGATATGCTAAAAGAGCTCAGCATGTGTAACCCAAGTTTCTTTGCAGAGCTTGCTGTAAAATGGTTGGGTGGAAATGATCACAAACCATTGTTTTAGGAATACTTTTGCTCTTATATATAGCATTATTTCCCTCTTATGTCTTCCCCTTCCACTACTGTCCTCTTGACTCCGTTCTCTCTCTCTCTCCACTGCCACGTTGATCTTCCAACCAGTTGTACATATTTACAATTCTAGTCCTTTTTCAGTTCTTTCCCTTTAAAGTTTGCCCTTGTTACAGCTATCACTAAAATAAAAACAATGTATGATCCCTTGTGCTTATCCGACCAGCTCTCTCTTTTTTGGCCAAAGGTTTTTTGTTTGTTTGTTTGTTTTAAGAACACACCTCCAATTTATTCAGAGTGAGGACAGTTTCACATTTGTACTTTTGAGACCCTTGTGTGATTTGTATCCAGTTTTAAATGTTGTTAATATAGATAGAGAGAGAGGGATTCAAATGTATTTTTAATCTTTTGTTGGAAACCACCCAGAGTGGCTGGGGAAGAAATTATTATTATTATTATTAATCAAACACAATATATATTCTAGCTCATGGGTTGTATTTCTGCAGTCTTCTTCTCATGGTGTTGCCTCCCTCCAGGGGAAAAAAGCCC